AATTTATCAAGGAATCTGTGGGATGGAATTATAAAATGCAGGATATTAAAACCAGGGAAAAATTAAACTAAAATTTAACAAGTCAACTTTTACTTGCACCATTTTTAATAAGAGGAGAGCAATACAATTTATTGCTTAAAAAAAATATATATTGAACGATATTTCAGAATACGAAGAGGTTGGAATACAGAGTATATTTCAAGCTTACAAATCGATACGAGTTCTGGACGGCTGTTTGAGATATTTCGATGTTTCTTCAGTTATGAGATGTTTTTTATTTCTCTCCTCCCCCCATTTATCAACCGTTTTGCCGTTTCTATTGTTATTAAGTTAACAGTGTTTCTAATTTATTTGAACGGATTTGAAATTCAATCTAGAAACTTTTGAATCGAAAATAAAACTATCAAAACACGTATGTGACTATGATTTTAATAAAATGTAAAGGTTTAATCACCAATCAAAACATGTCCATCTACCCAAAGCCTACATGCAACTAATCTCAAGTCCTAGATCTGGCATAATTAAAAAAATATATAATTTTTCCATCTTTACTATTTAAGTGATCGAAGAACAAATTTATTTTCATATTTTCTGAAATACCTGATTAATGATAAAGACTATGATATTGAATATGATGAGAAGATTCAAGCAAGTTTGAACATAGTCATGACTAAATAAAAGATAAAGTGAACTCTAGCTATCGATTCCAATTCATAGAAGAACCTCTTTGAAGGAGGAAGGAATGATAACAATTATTTTTAATCTGAACAATAAATAAATAACTCTAGCAACAATAACGCCATGTAGTGTTGAAGAAAGTTTTTTCGCTGATAAAAGGAACGTAGCATTGTAAAAACAATGAAATACGTCTCTAAAGATAGGATTCATTACTGCAGACTGTAGATTAACTGTTTCAATTCTAATTAACTAACAATATTCCTTCAGATATCAAACAAAACTATTATATAAAAGGAACAAGGAATATCTACACTGTAATCCAACGGGTATTCCCAAAGTATGTAGATTCCTCCTGCCAGTAAATAACACGGGTACCGTATCCTATTTTGTCGGCCAACGAGATCTGAAGCGGTCGAAGCGTACAAAGGCGGAAACCTGCTCACCTGTCAGCGCGGCAAAAACCACGGCAACCGGCGGGAAAATGTGCTTTCGGCGGGCTTTTAGTCCCACTCAATAACAACCTCCGTTATGCCGACATGGTTTCAGAGTTTCACACAAAGGTGTACCACTGCGCTAGGCTTAATGGTATGTAATGGCACTTATTGGATTATTATTGGGAGAATTTTAACTTTCACAAAAATTGATCAGATAATTGATAATTATGAGAACATATCAATACATTAATAACAAATAAATAGTTGAAAGTAGATGTAAGAAAAGAAGTAAACGGGAGATTAGGAAACACATTATTATGTAACAAACTGCTTTATTGTGTGCTAAAGTCTGGGTTAATTAGTCCAAATCAGCCTAGTGATTTTATTAGGGATAAAGAAAATAAAATAGCAATAGGAGTACAAAGTGGGGTCAATAAAGAGAAGGGGTAAAATGGAACTGCAGAATCAAGGATTGAAATATATAATTAAAAAGATCAAAGAAAAAATCAAAACTGTTCAAAGTTTTTAAAAATTATTAGATGATTTTAATTAGGAGCGATTTTTATTTTTGACCATAGGTGAAAAAAATCATATCCTGATCATTATTTTTTAACAAAATGATCAATAATAATTCTTGAGTAAGACCTTTTTAAAATCAGAATTATAATTTTTTTGTAATCGCTATGATATATTTTGAGTCTGGAGTGGTAGGTGGAGAATATTGTCAACTATTCACAATAAGAAATTCTTTCAAAAAAATTTCTCAAATGCATATGAAATTTTTGATAGAAAAAAAAAATATATATATTTATATCATATTATATATATATGCACATACATATTCAAGCTATTTCAGAAATATATTATTAAATGTGTACATTAATAAGGTATGCAAACATATTAATAATTAATTTAATTTGTATGTAATAAGTGATTTTTATTTTCTGTAACTAAATTTTTATTACAATTTAATCATTATTATTAATTCAAAACCGTATCACTCAGTGAGTGATCATTATTTTAAATCGAATCAATAAATATCAAAAATCGTATTAAAATTTTATTTAAACATAGACATGATTTTTAAATTAAAAATCAAATATAATAATTATTACATGATTTTATAGAAAAAATAATTATCGATTTCAAATCATGTATAAAATAGTATAGATAGCAGTTTTCATTGGCCCATATTTGTTTCGGTCAGTGATCTGAGCCAAATACTTAAACAATAACAACATGTAATCTTTTGAAAGCATTACAGTATCTGTAAAAAAAACTTACATTATTTTATAATGTTTATATGTTTTTCTACCAGCGCAATTACCAATTTTAAACAAAAACATCCAAGGCCTCCAAAATTAAATCCTAGACTTGCAACTGTACAGGAATAAAAATTATGTATAAATATGAATTCTTATGAATTGTAATGCATAGTTATAAGGAAAACTCTTGTTGAGAAGAACTTAACATAAAATTCCCCAGCTGTTTCATCACCAGTTAACATAGCCTTGACACAACAAATTAACAGCTGATGGAATCTATTAGGAAAAGATAATACAATGAATAGCTCATGTCTACAATAGCTTTCAAAGAACTGATAGCAGACAGAAATAGTACAGCCTAGATAATATCAATAAATAATAAATCTATAATACAACAACTTAAAGTAACAATTAACAAAAACGTTAAGTAAAATCATAGAAATAGATAGCAACAGTATCAGATAATATTAGAATTAAAAAAAAAATCCTTTCCCAGCAACACAAGATAGTAGGATTTCATTTCAATAATTGATAACTCCTTTATTCATAACTATGCCAAAGAAATACAATGACAACATTTAGCAAATGGCTACCATGGTTTGATAAGGTTCTAACATTCTTGGCTATGTTTTTATTGAAGAAATTTGCAAAATTTGAAAACAATTGAAGTTCACATTCACTTTTATAAATTTCATTTATACTAATATTATTTGTGACGTTTTAACTTCACTTCGATATAGTTTATACAAAATCAAAAGTAAAGTATTTTTTAACTCCTCGAAAAAATAAATTAATATTAATTAAAGTAAAAGTAATACGATAAATTGGTAAATTTTAATAATAACGAAAACTGCCAGGACAATAATTTTTTTAACAATTTTCAAATAATCTTTTTAAAGTGAACTTACTTTTTCTTAAAATTATGACCAGTTCGAACATAGGCTAATCAAGGTCATGCTGATGTTCAGGTCAGTGTTTCGTAGGTGAACTTTTTACTTTTTGATGTAAGGAAATCAATAAAGAAAAAAAAATTGAAAATCTATTCATCATAATTGGATTCCTTTATTTTTCAACTTTTTTTTTAAGTTTATAATTTTTACCCACACCTGTCATATTAGCGAGTCTGCTGTCGGGAAAATACTGGCTTGATCAGCGTGAGGGAAAGGAGTGCCCAGCGGTATCCCTTCTTGACTTGACTTAGGTACGGAAATCCCTCTTTCACCTTCTTTTGAAGCTCCGATGCGTGTTTTCGGGCATGTTAATCGAGGACATGTCTTGTATCAGTGTGTTAGTATGTCCATGTAAGTTATTGTACAATTTTTTGTTGTGTGTCTGTCTGTGGTCGTTAACTGTTGACATGTAGAACGTTTGTGACGTACCATGGAGCTTTAGTTATAGTCCTAAATGTTTTTGCTGAAAGGTTTGTAGTTTTCGTACGTAGGTCATTTTGGCTGTTCCGTATATTTGAGAAGCGTCCATGTAGGTTTTAGTAAATAGAGATAGAAAAAACATCGTTGTTCTGGGACTAGATCCCTTAAGAATAACAATATTGTTCAAACCAATTGACAATAAATCTGGCCAGTAAAATCTAAAAAAATCACGGGTCATCAATATAATAATATTGGTACAAAAAACAAAAACATACTAATAACTAAATAAAATTGGAAAGAAACGCTAAATGAGTTTTATAGGTATCCAATTTTAGTGTAAAATATAAAAAAAAATTACTGGAGTAAATAAATGATTTATATATGCTCCTTAAGACGTTTAAGTGAAAACACATGAAGATATTGTGAAAAACTAGACAAGTATTGTGATCTACCTATAACTCGATTACGAGCAGAAAAAAAAATACATATACACACATAGAGAGCAGTGTGTAAAAGATATGTAAAAAATGAGATACTTTTAAATAAAATAAAATACGTTTCAAATAATACAATCTTATGAATAGAAAAGGTAGAAGGTAAGAAAAAAACAAAAAATTATACCTACTCACAATGTACATTTATATATTGCCATTATATACATTCATCAGTATATACAGGTCATCGAAATTCTGTTTCATACTCAAAACAGAAGAAAAAAAATGTATAAAGAAAATTAAAACCTTGTTACATAGTATATGCTTAGCCAGCGTCTGATTGAATTGTGAAGATGAATTGGAATAAGATGGTTTTAAATGTGGATAAAATAAATGTAGGCGTTCAGTTTCTGTTTTAATTTTAATTTTGAGCGTCTTGAAAGAAATGAGTATAATAGTCATAGTCTGAGGTTTAACGTTATTCTTTTTTTGTTGATATGTGGGTCACAAATTCTAAGACTCTCATGTTTATAATGATGGTAAGATGTTAATGTAAAATATATGCACTGTAGCAGCTTATGTTTAAATTTTAAAGAGACAGTAAATGTTTAATAGTAAATAAATATTTACTGCATTGCCAAAAATCTAAGTTTGTACTGGTCTCACTACCAGTATATATACAGAAATACTTGAAACTATACAAGAGAGATTAGGATATTGATAAAAATAGATTTCGATACATCGGGTAGGCTTCAATTATTTAAAAATAGATATGTTGTAAGAAGAATATGGAATAAACATATTTAAAGAAATACAGACCTCCTCCAAGCGCCGACTTCAGCATACCGCCTACTGCAATTGTAGTTGGTGTGGATGAGCGGTAGGTGGGCGGAGTGCCTGTGGTGGATCTTGATGACGTTGTTGTTGTTGAGGTTCTCCGAGAGGTTGTCGTTTGGCGAGCCCAAGGAGGGCATCCTGAACCTTGAAGAGTACGCCGCTGGGTTCACATGGGTCCTGGTTCGGCAAGGTATATAATGAGGTATAAGGCTACAGATTATCCAATCAATGTGCACAAATAGAGGTCCTGTTCTCTGTGATCGTTTGCCAAGTAACGTTTGATAACATTTGATTCTTGTTAAAATTAATTTTATTGAGATTCGAATAAACTTTTACCCTTAATTTACCTATTTATAAAAATAATATTAATAACTATTAAACTAAGTTTTTATAATTGAAGATTCTCAATAAAAATTTTGTTGGCTGTTCGCTGTTATAATAGAGATATGGCTGACTCTTTTTCCATCAAAAGAGTTTAGTTTGGTACACAATAAAATAAATAAAAAAATAGTGTCTCGAACAGAATGCGAGCCGAGTGTAATAAAATAATAATTCGATTGAGAATCGAACAACAAATACCAACAAATCATAAAGTTATCGAAAAAAAAACAAACTAAAAGTGTCTTCTATTAAATAAGGTTTTAATTGAAGCAATAACCAAGAGCCTATTCAGGAACGGAGGAACAGAGAGAGAAGATAAGGCAGCTCACCTCTTTCAACACGAAAACATAATCATAAAATAGAAACAAATACGTACAAATAGTTTTTAAAAATGGTGTGGTATTACCAAGTGAGTAGCTAGTATTTTAAAGTTTTGAAAAAAAAATACATCCTCTAGATGAAAGAAATTTATGAACTTGCCTTCGTCTTCTTTTGCGCTGAATACAATACTGGTAATTAATTAAGGTTTACTTGTATTGGTAAAAATACAAAACAATCATATTCATTTTATTTTTATCGTAAGTAGAATTCAGCTAATATATATTGCTAAGTAAAAAACTTATTTTGATTTATCTGCAATAATAGAATGAATGAAAAGTGTTATAAGAACCCTTTATTAAACTAACGATCAGTAAATCAAGACTATTAATTCAACTAAGGACAAAGAGTTTTTTTAAAATGTAATTAGCTAATATTCCTGTCAAACAATAAGAACATTCATCAGAGTAGCAACAAAAATACAAAAAAGAATGAGGAAAAAACAAATTGAAAATGAACAGAGGGAAATTGCATCTATTAATAGAAGACATCCACGTCTGAATTATTATATCAGTTATTTGAAAAGATCTATGTTCCTCATCTTCTCTCGTTCGTTATTTTCTGTTAGGTTGTGTAAGAATTCTAGCTGAGAAAATAAGAATTTCAGTTTAATTTAGCTTTATTAATCATCTCGACATATCTTTGATAACAACAATTCTCTTCTGATTCCTTTTAACGATCTGCAATCAAGATACACTCCCAAATGCAGAGGTGGTAACGAACTCCTCGAGGTTGAAGGATAATAGGAGACTACAAGAATAAACGCAACTCCTTGGGAGCCAATAAACTGGCCAGGGTCAGCGGTCTAGAGCTGGCTGGCGCTCTCCACTGACTCTCTGTTGGGCGCCAAAATTCTATTTACCCTTGGTCGGTACAGCTGTCTCGGCCAGCGAATTTCGCTTTATATATCATTGAACTTGGAAAAAGAAGTTCAAATAAACTCTTTAGTGCAGCTGTTACTAGGTTTAGTTTGTTAAAAATAAAACGGTATTATTGTCTTGTTCGAGTCACTTAATGTTGTAATATTTCCTCACAACTGGTGCATTGGAGGTAACTTTACAGAAATAAACTTGCAGCCTATTTGATTATATTATTGTAATTAATACATTTGACCAATATATGGAAATAAAAAAAAAATGGGCGAACAGAGATTTTATCCCCATTTTATTTATATATACATTTATAGTCAGTGATATCAGAATTATGATAACAATTATTACTTTAAAACAGAAAATCAATTTATTTCCACTAGTAAGAGACAAATATCTAAATTTAAAAAAAATGTTATGAACATACTATTATTTTTATATTTATAAAATATTGAATAGGAAATAAAAATTATATTGATTTTACTTATTTTTTCATATTAAGATACCTTTTATAGCATACCTACGTAGTTTTCATTCATTATAATATTTTAATTAACTTATTCGCAAATAACTTTTCAGATTTGTACATTTTGGGTATTTAATTGATTTGTTCTTACTTTTTGGCCTTTGCTCAAAAGTTTTACGTGGATCTATTAAATTCAATCCATTTAATATATTTATTATAATATATTATCCATTAACTATATTATTATAAATCATAGAAAAGATAATCAATATGTTTTCAGTTCACCAAATTCATGAATAAGTTATATCTACATACTTTCTTAGCCTTTTCAGATAAAACAGAGCAAATTTTGGCAATATATACCCAATGGTACGTCATATTCCACGCCGTACTATACTGCCAAGGGATTTTAGAATGTTTACTATTTATCCAATTTTTACTAGCTGATAATATCTAGGTCTTAAAACAGAAGAAAACTATTTTCAACAAGCAATTGCACACCATATTCAGATGAATTCGAGTAGTTGATCTTAAAGTAACGTAAACGTATATTTTCCGGTGAATTTATTATTCAGGAACGCCCATTAAATATAGAGTGACTCTCATACACAGTTCATTCAGCAAGTGATTTATTTTTAATATAATGAGATTGAATACATTGATTTTAGATTAATAGAGCTTCGCCATCATGTTTTCTGATTTTTTTAATTTTTAGGATGTTTCCTTGATTAATAAATATTAAAAGTTTATTTATTTCCAAAATTTTATTTCTGTTCCTGTAGTTTCGAGAAATAGAATAAAATCGACATGTGGTCCATAACACATCTCACCCACAGAAGTATATTGTTTCCCAAAAGGGATATGGGACAGATATCGGTTGGGACAGCTGGCCATTTCGGTTTTAACCTTAGCTGGTCGAGCGGACAGTCTGGTCTTATTGTACTGGATTAGGACAGTCAATGCTACTTAAAATTTCATCTGGACATCATCAGACAAATAATTTCTGACCATTTTGATTTTGTGTGTGTGTGTTTATCTATTAATTTGAATACTATATATTGGCAGTCATAATTGATCTTCTCTTAAACAGCAAATCTTATTTTTACGATATTTAAAAAAAAAAAAAATCAATATCTGTTGATTGTCGATGATGAATAATTTGTAATAAACTGTTAATGAATACTGAATTGTCATGATAAACCTCATATTGACCAGCGAGTAAAACATTCAAATCTTCATATAATTTATTATTTAATTTATACAGCGTCAGTAGATTGCAAAAGTCAGAAATATATTTTTGATGGAGCTAAACTTTTAAGTAGGTTTTTACGAATTTAGACGTTATTTATCAAGGGAAAAGTAATTGCATCAAAATGAGTAAAACTCCATTATACATGAAAAATAGTTAAACTGATAAAAAAAATGTTCTGATTTCAGAGAGGTAAAATTTAAAAAATATACTTTTTGATTTCATTTTACGAATGTTAGGAATAGACGATATATTCTCTGTAAATACGGTATAAATAAACTTTTTTCTCACCCTTACACATTTTTAAGAAATAATGTAAAAATACTAAATAAAAAATCTTTAAATGACAGAAGTTTGCTCAGATCTTTTATATTTTTATAAGAATTCAAGAAAAAATAAAAGACTACAGAAATAGCCTAGAGACTGTTAAGCTATTTCTAAATCCTATGCAACTAGGACAGGAAGTTATACTGGAGGAAATAACTCTGACCCACAATTGTACAAATAATAATGTTTCAAATATAGAAATTTTAAATTATGTAGCTCTGCTGAACTGAATACATAAATACAAACTGATTTTTTTTCTATTTATCCTTTTTATATCTAAATACTACTACTGCAAAAATTTATAAAATAACATTCACCTAAATATTGTAAGTAAAAAATGAAATAATATGTGATTATGCGTTTTTATAATACTTTATTTTCTGAAATATTTCCAGTAAAAAGATTTTTAATAAAAAAAAAAAAACTGAATGGATGGATTGATTTGCTTGCCTTTAATGAAAGTTTTGAATTATTATTTAATTTTTAGAATGTATAATAGATGTCTCAACTGCAAATGAAATACGTTATAATAACATTTCATTTTTATTAATTATATATTGATATCTACAATTCGGAATCAGTATTTATTTTGGATTATTTTATCAATTAACACCACTATTGCAACCATAATTTGATAGAACTGGAGATTTGACCTTAAAAAAAAATATGAAAACAATAAAAAAATGAGATGTAAAAATTATTTTTGAAGCTATAGCTTTGGACGAGACTAACTTTTTTAAAACTTAGAATTTTAATTTAAACAAAATTTTCATGAAGGCTAAAAGTTGTTTTTAATATTATGAGAGCTTGAACCGGAGTGGGTAGGGGAACGTAGCCTTTGAACTCTTGAACTTGTGAAGCGTTGAGATTTTTTTTTTTTTTTTTATGAGAACATTGTACACAGAGTCAAAGGTTCAAAAGTTTAATTTGGGCGTTCTTTACCCAGAGAAAAAAAAAACGTAATAAAAATATAACATCGAAGCCGATATCAGAACGGGAGTAACACATCAAATCCCCGATAACTGGTATAATGTATTTCATTAACAAATGAAAATATCACATGCTATGCTTACGTAAAAAAAACAATGCCTCTTCAAATGAATTAAAGAGATAAGATTAGCTATAAAAAGGCATAATTTGTTATCTGTTACGTACAGTAAAATGAGCGCTATTAAATAGATGGTTGGAGAACTAAAAACAAACAAACAAACAATAAACTAAAGATACAGAAGAATTTTAAATACTCGTGCAAAAGTTAAGAAACATATTACATTGAAAAACCCCTATTGTTAGAAATAAATAAATAGATAAAAGTTGTGACGATCTTAGCTATACTTGTAAGATAGCTGAAAATTGGGGAAATATCGTACAAAAAGATCGTTGCAATACAGATTGTGGAAAGGAGAAATAAAACAAAAACAATCAATATTAAACTAAATCTCCAATAAAATGAAAAACAAAATTGGTATGTGATTTTATATCTTCTATAATTTATATAAATAAAATA